AATAATAATAATAATAATAAAAACAGGGAAACCACAGAAATACACATACATATACAGACATGATAGGAATGAAAAAAAAGAGAAAAAAAAAAAAAAACACATTGATGAGAAAAAAAAACCCGTATATTAATACATGAGACATTGGGTGTAATGACCACCCATAAAGGTGAGTAGAACGGGAATCAGTGAGTAGAACAATAAAAGAAAAAAAGAAGAAAAAAAACCCAAAAGCAAGAGTATATCGCTTACCTTTTATTTATTTATTTTTTTATTTATTTTGTTTTTTCTCTTTTGGAAAAAAAAGATATCATGAATTAATGGAGCTGACTTGCCCTATAAAGGTGTCATGCCTCTCAATTCTTTTTATTTATTTATTTATTTCTTTCTTCCTTTGTCTTTTTTTTTAAAAAACTTAGTTTGCTACCTTTTCTTTTCGTTTTTTTTTTCTTTTTTTTATTGTTTGTTTGTTCTTTATTATTTATTCTTTTTTTTTCTTTTTTTTTTGGATTAAAGATGTAGACGTTTCCTTCTAGGCATGTACGCACACATAGACTACTTCTCTCCATCTAATTTTTTTTTTATTTTTAATTGAATGTTAGCGCACCTCACGTGGCCCTCGTCCCATCTCGGCAAACAAACGATGTCCACGCGGTCTCGCAATGACAACAGGACGAGATGGAGTGGCCGTTGTTGCACTCAACAAATTCCTTCCATGTACTCCTCCCATTCCCTTTATAGTTGTGTTTGTGTTTGTAGTTGATGTGATTGAAGTGATTATTGTATTTTTTCCTCCTCCTTCTTCCCCTGTTCCTTCTGTGGTTTTGGTAGGTGTTATTTTCGTAGGTGATATTGATATTCCTGCGGCTTTACCCGTTGTTGTTCCTGTTGTTATTGTTGCTGTTGTTGTTGTATTTTCACTAATACACTTCAGTGCCTGTTTCCATGCGGAGGGCCGCACATAACGTGTGCCTGGTGAGAGAAACGGGTGTTGTGTGAGAAAGTGAATGGCGGAGGCTCGCAATTCCAATTCCTGCAGGGAAACACCACCGGCGGGAAAGAGGGTGGAAGATGTACGTGAAATATCTCCACGGCTTCTTGAAAGTGAACTGTGTGTGGAGCCACTGCGGGTTTGGGCCACGACTGTTGCCGGCGCCAGTTGATCCGGTTCCGGTGTTTCCCCGCCATCCTGTTGAACCCGCTGTCGTTGTTTCTGTTCTAATTGTTGAAAATGCCTAAAGAGCACAAGGGCATTGACGTTTTCCAGCCATTCCTGAAGTATGGCATGAACTATAAAAAGTTGACGATCCGTGCTATTGTTAACAAAATCATTTACAAGAATGGCATTACGTCGATTTAACGTAACAGAAGAAGGGGCATTCTCTACAATGATATTGCGAGTCAAGTGTCTACCAATACGACGTAAATCTTTTGTATATCCACCCTCACGATACCATCGTACATCTCTGTAAATAACATCATCCAATATTGTACCATCTGGGTCCAGGCGAGCAATAACAGGACGAGCCACCACCTCCACACTTGCGGTCCATATAATAATTTCCAAACGCAGTGTCCCTCCATCAGAATTAACAGCAGATGAAGAAGAAGATGCGGAATATGAAACTGATCCTCCTCCTCCTCCTCTTGTAGTGGTGGTGTTAGTTGATCCCTGTTGTTTATTATTGTTCTCATTTCGGCCCGTTGGTTTCCTTCCATATCTTCCACCAACGTATGACTGCAGAGGTGTATCACGTGGGTGTAACTGCGGATGTGGATAGAGAGCTCGTAGTCGTCGCAACATCTCCACTGCGCCTGGGCGAAGAATTGCCGGACCGTGACCGCGATTGTTGCAGAGTGTCTCATCAAGATCAAACACAATGGTAGCAGTTCGTTCCTTCTCTGCCGGTGATGCCAAACTGCGCGTGAGTAATTGCCGTGTTGGAAAGAGAATATCACTCGTTTGAAGTCCGTCAAGTGCGTCCTCTAGTGAAGTGTGTGTGGTACACACGCCGACAGAGGCATTAGGATCTGATGTACGGAAAGGTGGACCAAGAGGTGGTGCAGAAGGCGCCCGTGCTGAATTAAATGACATTTGTGATAATAGTGATGGTGGCGGTGGTGGTGATGTTGTTACTTTATTGGTATTAGTAGTAGTAGTAGTAGTAGTAGTAGTAGTTGTAGTTGTTGTGGTTTCTTTGCGGCTCTCCCGTGGAATGGTGGGTGGTGGCTCTACAGAGTACCGCTGCTGTGACTTCTCTGGTGGTTCCTGTATCGGTGATGGGGCCACACTCGCACTCTTCTCTGCGGCCGCATCTCCATTTCCATCACCACCACTTGAATTTCTCGTTTTTTCCTCTTCGGGTTGTTTATAGGGAGACTTGGGAGTGGTAGCGCAGGACGCAGTGGTCGAGCAGCCGCGGAGGGATGGTGAGGGAAGTCCACTCACACTACGGAGTTTTCCATTCTTCTGCATTGCGGCAATACTATGGGAGATGATATGCATCTGAACAGGAGCTCCTCCCTTTGATTCCATCAGGCGGGTTTCTTGTTTTTGTTGTTGCTCTCCTTCTTCTTGCTGTTTTTTCTGCTCTGTAGACATATTATTATTATTATTATTATTGTTGCTGTTGGCTTCTCCCTCTAATTTATCCATTACCACGTCTTTTGTTTTTATACTATTTGCGTTTACGCCATCCAAAGCGACAGACTTTTTCCTTGGAGTCTTTGCTTGTTGTTTTGGTTTCCCTTTCTTCAAAGACTGACGAAATACAGATGCCTTCCTTTTTGTCTCAACATTCTCATTTGTAATCATCGTCTTTCCTTTTTTGCTAGACTTTGAACCTCTGTGTGACTTCTGTGGAGTACTTTCACCAACTTCAATCTCATTCAGGTGAAGTTCCTCTCTCTTTTCGTTTGTTCTGTCATCTATACTCATCTCCATTTCAGAGTCCTCCTGCAAAAACAAACCCTCACCATCTGGTGCCTCCCTCACCGTCGTCAACACCACTTCCTCACATATTGCTGCATTCATCGTAATATGATTATCACTATAATCATTATCCATAATAGGAATAGCGGCAGGAAAACAAGAATCTGCAGAAGTTCCTTGAGAGTTCATTTGCGTGGTTAATGTTTTGCCTTTCCTTTTCCATTGGGATCCCTTGCCTTTACTGTTGGCCGCTGAACGTGTCACGGCTACAATCTTTAAGGTTTTACTTTTCATTGTTGTTCACTCACACACACACACTCTCTTTCTCTCACTCTCTCTCTTTCTCTTTCAATTACTCCAACAAACCAAGAAAGAATCAAATGCCTTGTGAGAGGAACTCACGACGGAATCACAAATAGAACTGTGGTGTGGGAACTTCTTTCTGGTCAGGGCAATTAAAGAAAAGAAAAAAAAGAAAAGAAAACAATAAGAACAGAAAAGTATATTAATAGGCGTCTGGTCTTTCCTTCTGTGTTCTTGTGTTTTACTCCTTTTTGGGGGTTTGGTTCTCTTTCTTTCTTTTTTTTTTTTTCTTTTTCTTCTTTGGTGTTGTCGCCTTCTTCCTTGACTTGTTTATACTTGCTGTTTCTTTTTCTTTTCCTTTGGGTAGAGTGTGTGCTGATTCCTTCCTCAGCGTATACCCCTTTTTTTTTTTTCTCTTATTGCTCTTGTTTTGCTCAATTTCACTCTATTTCCCTCACACAACCTACACAAAGAGAGACTGGACTCGCAAGGCTCAAACCGTGCAGGTTTTTTTTTTCTTCTTCTTCTTCTTTTGAAGTAAAGAAGTGCGGTGGGGAATCAACGAATTCTACCTTGCGCACAATGTGTATATAAATAAGGATATAGAAAAAAAAGAGAAAAGAAAAAAGAAGAAAAAGAAGTAAATACAATAGAATAAGGTTTTTTTTTTCTTTTTTTCTTTTTAAAAGGTATTCACACCAAAAACAACAGCAACAATAGGGAAAAAAAAGATAAAAAGAAGAATAAAATAAAATAATATAAAAAAGAAACGAAGGTGAAACAAAAAACAAAAAAAAAAAAAAAAAAAAAAAAAAAAAAAACAGAAGCAGAAACATTTGTAGTCATGCTTAGAAGCAGTTCGCCAGTATAATGGGTGATTCCCTTCCTTTATTGCCTTCTCCCATACTATTCTTATTTTTCTTTTTCTTCTTTTGCATTGAGAGTGGGAGGGGGAGAGAGGTTGAATTTCATTCTTCATTTATTCTTTTTCTTCTTCTTGTTATTTCTTTCTTTCTTTTCCTCCTCCCTCATCTTCTCAATAATATTACAGCTCAGAGCAATCCTCTCACATTCATTAATCATCAATATCACTTCCCTTCTTTTTTTTTTTTTTCTTTCCTTTTGGTCTTTATTTTTATCTTCTCTTTTCACATAGGTGTGCCTCATTGTTTGTTTGTTTGTCTGTTTGTCTTTTTTTTTTTTTTCTTTCTTCTCCCTCCTCTTTCTTTCTTTCTTTCTCTCTCTTTCTCTTACCTTTCTCTCAACTCGTTAATAAAATCGGCCCGTCCTTTATTTTCATTTTCATTTCAATTTCTCTCGTTTTCTCACTTGTGTGTTCGCCTGTTGGCCGCAGTCCATTTGATTGCAGTGAAATTACCTCCAATTTTTATTTTTTTATTTTCTCTCCTGCAGCCGTCGGGCGGGGGACTTGCGGGGAGAGCCGCAGCATCTATAAATGAAAAAGAAAATTAAAAAAAAAAAAAAAAAAAAAAAAAAAACATTCGGGTAAAAGGGTAAATATATATAAAAAAAAAGAGAAAGAAAGAAACAAAGGGTCTCTCTCACAAAGAGAAAAAAAAAAAAAAAACAGATAAAATCAGGGGATGAAAAAAAAAAAAAGACGCAAAGGGATTAATAACAGTAAAAACAAAAAAAAGTCCTAAAAAGGAAAAAAAACTCGAACGTCAGTGCATAGATATACACACACATACATATACAGAAATATATACATATATATATATATATATATATATATGTATATATATATGAGTACAAACCACAGAGAGAAAGAAAAAAAGAAAAAAAAAAAACACAATCTGCGTTGGTCTTCAACTATTGTTTGTCTCTCTCTCTCTCTCTGACTGCTGGTTTACTATTCTCTTATTTTTTATCTTTTGTTATTCCCCTGTATGTATGTGAGTGATTTTTTTTTTTTCCTTTTCTTTCTTTTTTTTCTTCTTTTGAATGGGTCAAAATTTTCCTTTTACCCCTCCTTCTTTTCCCCCCTGTAATGGCAAAATGTGAATTTGTATATGAATGTGCCTGTGTATCTCTGGCTTACATGTATGGAATCCTCTTCCCCTCGCTATGCAATGCGTGTAGAGTATATAAATATATAAATATATATAGTAGTAGTAGTAATAGTAGTAGTATAGATGTACCTGTACATGTACAAAAAAAAAAAAAAACAATAAAATCCCAAAACAACATAGAGAGAAATAAGTAATATATACAATAATAATAATAATTTGAAAAAAGGGAAAACAAAAAAAAAAAATTTTTTTTTTTTTTTTTTTTTT